GTATTTCAAAAGGCTATTATTAACATTCCAGTGTTGATGGTTGACATTCCATGGTACTGACAGTTGGTTTTCTATTTTGTTGTGAAGTTTTGCTCCTCTCTTGAAATGAAAATCATAACTCTGAGAAGAAAGCATGATTTTTTTTGTCAGTTAGTACAAACATATAACTGTTCATATATATATATATATATATATACATGTGTGTGTGTGTGTATATATCTGTAATTTTTATGGTATTTACAGACCCTTCATTTCTTTGAAAGTGGGCAAACTTACAAAATCAGCAGGGGATAAATATTTCCCCCACTGTATATACTGTATATATATATATATATATATATATATATATTTGCTACATATATACACACAGTCTTCCCACTATCTTCTCTTTATGTCCGTGCTCTATAGATCTCATTTGTCTTGATCTGCTACCTGTCAGCGCTATATGTTTCATGCTTAGGTCAAGGTCCTCCATGCTCTTCTTCTTCCATGCAGGATAAAGATTTCAGATGGAACTGTGGCTTGACAGTTAGTGGACATACTCCAGATATATTTTAAAGTATTTTTTTTCTAAATTTTGCAGTGGATGCATGCTGCTAAGTTCATTTCCAGTATTTTTCAAAACATGACTTAATGTCATGAAACCATTAACGATTTATATTTTTCTTCCCCTTTAGCCCAATTAACCAGATGCATTGCAATGGACTAATTACATGTTCATCTACTTGTCTACTTAGTCTTTTTCCAACAATAAGCTATTATTAAAAACTGACTGGAATCTGGCAAAAGTTTCCTTAAAGACTGAACCTTCATTTAGAAACAAAATCTTGCACGTGATCTGTCACATTATCGCCCAATATGGAACTTCTTATTTTATCTCCAAGGTATTGGAGAGGGTTGTTGCTCAGCAACTGCACCTATTCCACAGGAACGACAAAGGTGGCTTCCTCCAGACAGGATTTATACCTAATCATAGTACTGACACAGCACTAGTTATAGTCAATGACTCATTATTGTCCTGACGGATCTCTTTGCCTCTAGATCTCAGTGCAATGTTCAAAACGTTGTCCTAACACTGTCTTGAAATTGATTCCCTATCTAAAATTAGCTTAACAGAAGTTTAAAAACTTTCTGAATGTTCAAGGCTTAATTATGGCATCCTTCGAAGTTCTGTTTTAGAAATATATTACTGATTTACTTGTATGTGCTATCACTTTGTAACATGGATATTTGCATGCATCGTATTAGATTTATTACTTTTATTAATAAGAAGATGAAATATGCATTTTTATCTGCTGCTAAGAATGGTCTAGATTTTATAAAAGCTTGTTTCTGCCATGGGATTAATAAAATTATTTTTAATAACTAGATTAGATAACAAACGTAAAAATTATGGGATAAAAAGTCTCAATTACATTTTTATTTTATAATCTGTGGCACAAAAACAAAACAAAACAAAACAAAAAAACAAAACTGTGAGATGTAAACTCTGGACAGCGAGAGAAAATTGTGAGATAAAAAGTGGCAATTCCATGGGAGAAATGTGCTTCTATAAGATTTTCTCTTTTCTCCGATTTCTCTGATTTAATAAATTCAAGTTAATGTCATAGTTCTTGAAAAAAGAAAAGAAAAGTTGAACACATCAGCTTCATTTTCCTATTTAATTGAATTGACGATTTAATCTAGTAATTTGACAATGTACAGCATGTGCACAGATTCACAAATAGTTCTGAACGCTTACTCTTGTACTAATGAGGCAATGAAAGAGCAAGACCATTTACAATATAACTTACTCATTGATTACCAATAATCCCTGCTTTTTACTAGCATGTTCACAAAGAGGGGTTCATGTAAGGGAAAAAAATCTTTTGTGACGCTTAGATGATTGCGAGGGATAATGGTGAAAAGTGAGAAGGAAAAGATCAAACGTATTGACCATCAAACCATCAGGCATCTCTTTATGGGGAAACGTGATACACACTGATACACACATCTCTTGCCTCAAAGTGAACACACACAAGAAAAGCTTCATTTGTACTCCTCCCAACTGGGCTTGATAAAAATGTGCAGCATTAAGGGAATTTCACCGCCACAGTTATGTGCTTGATAATTACACTATTGCACACTGGTGCTGACCTCTCTGTATATCTGTGGAATGAACAGGGTTTCACATCAGCATGGCCATCGAGAATCAGTTGCCTCTGCTGTTATGTTTTCATTCTTGACTGTAATGAGACAATAAACATATTAATGACAATAAATTGATTTGGAATTGCCTTGTATCAGGAGTACACAGCATATTCCACAGCTATATGTGTTAGCAGTGTGCACAAGATCGTTTTGCTCAGGGTCAAAAACACCATTGTTTCTCATTTGGCCTTGAAACCTTGTTAAAACTTTTCATGAATTTAACACTATCTCGTTATTATATTGTTTCAAATGACAAGGGTTGCAATGTGGAGGCAATTTACCCTTAAAGGAATAATTCAGCATTTTTTGGGTAAACTATTCCTTTAATCAGCCCATTAATATGATAAGTGGTTAACATTATAGGAACAAATAATCTTATGCCAAACCAAACTGGTGCAGAGTATTGCACCAATATAATGAAAAACCTGATTTCATCCATGTATATCGTTTTGTGGATGTACTGGTGAAGATGAAGGTAAACATGTATATATTTATTTTTGTCTGCAAATATGCAATAACAACTTATGTTTCCATGTACTTTTATCAATACTGTAGCATGCTTTCATAGGGTCTGGCAGCTTTTTAATGAGTATGTCAGATTAATTCTGACACTCTCTAAACCTGATGCTCTGGAGTCTAACCTTTCAAGAGCAAAATTAAAATCCGTCCCATCGCTCATTAGGTATGTTAATACATGCAAACGAATGGATGCCATGTGTTTGACCCTACCAAGGACATTCTCTGTCCACATCTCAGAAAGGCTATCTGCTCATCTGCCTTTTCAGAACAATTCTATTCTTGATATAAATGTAGTAGAAATTAGAATTCTTACTGAAATTACACTAAATTCAATTCTGCAAACTAAATGCTCTATATGAGCTAACTGTCAATTATTTGTTCAATATCATCCTACCGTTCATAGAATAATATTAATATAAGGAACCATTTTTATACCTGAGAATAATAGGGATATCTTACTCTCAGTGACATGCTCTGACATTTCATTATATCAGGTAGCTTAAAAACTGAATAGACTATATATTCATATGCAACTACACTGCCTGGTGTAGTAACAATTTTCACTCAGAAATATAATTACGAAGAAACAGCAAGTAAAGCATTAAATGAAATGTTGACATTTCCAAAATGCACTGAAATAGCATTTTCGTCTAAACTGTACTACAATTGGTAACACTTTATTTTAAGATGTCCTTGTTACACCTTACATGTACTTACTATAATAATAATAATAAATGATGCATAATTACATGCAAGTAACCCTAAGCCAAACCCTAATCCTAACCTAATCACACTGCCGATCTTTCTGCAGACGAACGGCCTTTATACTTCCAGTAGCATAGGTACGTGCGCCTGCCTTTACCTATTTACACTTCCATCCCATCGCAAGATGTCCCGCCCGGTACCACCCCAGTGCGCATCAGACCTGGATGTTTGCGCACTGTCCCCATCCCTGTGTGAGAGAAACTTGTGGCACGAGCTATTTCTGATCTTTTTGATTATTCTCTGGAGCTTTAGGAAACATAAACAGCCGTGGCATTCTCGTGCGCTGTGTCTTTACTGTTTGTTGTGAAGTGTGTTTGTTTCACATGCTGCTGGAATTAATTCTAATAATAATCATTCTTAGCGCAGCTCTGGTGTAATGGAAATGTTTTGGGTGTTTTTTTCCCCTTCGCGTTTGCGATCTTTGACGGACGCTCTGGCGATATTGATCTGTCTGATTTTTTTGTTTACAACTTCAATAACTATTTTTTTTTTACAGTGATACTGAAATAAGGTATTTTAAAAGAATACGATAAATGAATGAATGAATGTGTTATTTGTTTGTTGGCTTGCATATACGTATTTATTCATTTGTTTAAATTATTGTATCCCTTAAAGGGCCTCTCAAGCATTTTGATATACTGAAATGTTGTTTTTTAAAGAATGTTTTACATATCATGCATACAGAACATATTATTTTAATGTCAGTTAATTATTCAATGCTATAGCTTTTAATAGTTAATTTACTTTTTGTATACTAATACTTTATTTAATATTTTTTTTATTTCTCATATATCTTTACCTGGTAGGCAAATAACCCATCACCCTTTGCATTAAAAGAGATTTGGCTTATAGTGGGCATCTCAACCGTTTGATAGAGGCTCATAATAAAATGTGATATGTATAATGTTTTGTGTAATATTTTACACATTTGTGTGGGTGACACTGTTGTCCTTCCACTGTAAATGAAAAAATAGTTCATATTAATGATAATGCTAATTGTAGTAGGCCTATGATTTCTGGTTTGGTGTTGATGAAGTGGTACTTGAGCCTACCTGTGAATATTGAATAAGTGACAGTCTGTGTGTGTGTTCAAGGGGGCGCTATTGCTCAGTTGATGATGCTGTGACTGAATGTGATGAAGCCCTGCAAAAAGTTTGAGCAGGTCTTGAAGAATAACCTCACACAAGCAACATTTCATTTGTAAAAGTTTTAGACGTCAAGCAGCAGGCATAAAAAAAAATCAGCATTCACTCACACTTGTAGTTTGAAGTCCTTAAATTTTGATTTACATGCGGAAGAATGCGAAATATCAATATTTATATTTCCGCGCTGTGTGAAATGATTCCGCATCCCTCTGTCTCTCAACACTGTGGAGCGTCTGTGCGAGCATTCAGGTGTTGACACAAACCTATAAGAGTCGGTGAGGAGGGAGGGTGTGTGTGTGTGTGTGTGTGTGTATATGTATGAGATAGGGAGGAAGAGAGAGTGAGAGAGAGAGAGAGAGACACGCGCTCTCTCCTAGTGCACTTTGCAGTAAGTTGCGGGCGGCTGTTGCTGGCGTGGCGGTTGCTGGTCGCGCAGGGAACTTTAACACGCTGGATCCCAAAGTCCGTCTCTCTCACCTGCGCAGTTCGGAGCTGCCATGGATTTCGCGGCCGGATTTACTATCCTAATCACACTGCCGATCTTTCTGCAGACGAACGGCCTTTATACTTCCAGTAGCATAGGTACGTGCGCCTGCCTTTACCTATTTACACTTCCATCCCATCGCAAGATGTCCCGCCCGGTACCACCCCAGTGCGCATCAGACCTGGATGTTTGCGCACTGTCCCCATCCCTGTGTGAGAGAAACTTGTGGCACGAGCTATTTCTGATCTTTTTGATTATTCTCTGGAGCTTTAGGAAACATAAACAGCCGTGGCATTCTCGTGCGCTGTGTCTTTACTGTTTGTTGTGAAGTGTGTTTGTTTCACATGCTGCTGGAATTAATTCTAATAATAATCATTCTTAGCGCAGCTCTGGTGTAATGGAAATGTTTTGGGTGTTTTTTTCCCCTTCGCGTTTGCGATCTTTGACGGACGCTCTGGCGATATTGATCTGTCTGAGAGCGGAAGTATTGCAGGATATTGATTTTAAATAAAGAAATGTCCCCGTTCTGTTCTCCTCCTTTGAGAGCGTTTAAACAAAACGTGCGTTTTGCATAAAGAAACTAAAAAAACGAAAACTCTGAAACTGAACTTTTGATTTTGGAAGAGAAAGATTTCAAGGTTACTTGTTTGTGCGACAACTTTAGGTTTGTTGGTGACTTGTAATGGTTATTTGTAAATTAGAGCTTGTAATATGCAGGAGAGTAAGTGCTCTCTTCAGAGATGCACATGCAAAGCTCAGCATCACTTTGAACTGACATATCGACTGTGTCTCAAAACATAGCGAGTTGTCTACCTAGACAGCATTGTTAGGCATCATAGGTGTTTGCAACATTTTTGATGGTCATAGATAATTGAAGCATTTTGAGAATAATTATTAGGCATCATAAGTGTGGGCATCTTTGGTGAGTGGAAGATTTTTGAGCATCATAGGTGTATGCAGCATTTTTGTGCATCAGTTGCATATAGTATTATTGGCTATCATAGGTGTATGCAAACTTTTTGATCATTTTAAGTAAGTGAAGCATTTTCAAGCATAATTTCTGGGCATCATAGGTGTGCAGAATTTTTGTGCATCAGGTGCATGTGGCATATTTGGGCATCATAGGTGTGTGCAGCATTTTTATGCATCAGTTCCATGAAGTATTATTTGGTATCATGGGTGTGTGCAACATGAGCATCATAAGGAAAAGTAGCTTTTTTAGGCATCATAGGCGCGTGTGCAGCATTTTTGGGAATCATAGATGAGTGAAGATTTTTTTGTGCATCAGGTGTATAAAATATGATTGAGTATTACAGGTGCATGTGGCTCGTTTGGGTATCATAGGTGTGTGCAGAATGTTTGGTGAAACATAGGTGAGTGGAATATTTTGGGCGTTAAGGGTGCACGCAACATTTATAGGAATGCATGGAACATTTTTGGGCATCACAGGCGTGTTTGGATGAGTGCAATCTGACTCTGAATGTGCCTGTGATGCCTAAAATGCTGCCTTGGTAGGCTGCTCACTAGGTTTTGTGACACTCATTTAGGATGAGTGATCTTCTTCTGAGATCATTTAAGTCAATTACTTTTGTTTTTCCCCTACGCGAGTCTGCTGTTGTGATTCTTCTTGATATATTTCAATATTGTAAATACGTCTATCATGCATCTGGCTGTCATTGAAAACAATAAGGCATATTATGAATGATACATTTTATTTATCTTGCTATTTTGTGATGGGAGGCAGGCAGATGTACTATTACAGACACAGAGCAACACACTTTTCATACAGTCTGACACATTCTGTGCACAAACAGGCGTCGTTAAATCTGAAAATGATGATGTCAAACAAGTGTTAATGTGTTTCTTCACCCAAACCCGTCTGACCCATTGCTTCTCATGTGCATTTACTTGCTGCATGGAAAGGAATGTGCATTTTAAGTGTCAACATAAACACATGTAAATTTAAATTTAATCAGAAGAAACATTGTTTCTGCAAACCATTTCATGAACATTCATTATACATGCTGATGCACTACAACCAATGTGTGCTGTCTGACTGACTATCTTTGTGTGTAACTCAATGCAGATTCCCTGCAGCATGTTCTGGGGGACTATGGACTGGTGAAGCCCGTTCTTACTGATGCAGAAGGCCGCTTCCTGTCCCATGCAGTATCGGTTGGTCCAGCAGATGGGCAGTTCCGTAGGCGCTGGAGAAGAGAGGCGGCATCGGCCGACCACGCCCACCATGAGTCCGGAGTAGGCATGCCAGAGCGACTCTACTACAACGTCACCGTCTTCGGCCGGGAGTTTCACCTGCGTCTGCATCGCAACACGCGCCTGGTGGCCCCTGGAGCCAAGATGGAGTGGCAGGAATCCGACGGCACGCACTCCGAGCCTTTGAAAAGCGACTGCATGTATGTTGGAGGCATTACGGACATACAGGGAGCCTCCGTAGCTATTAGTAACTGCGACGGCCTGGTAAGTGGCCACATTGGCCTTCATGTTGTGTGGTGTCCAGTATGTCCGCTTAATTCACACAAACGCTTCATTAATATAATCAATATATCATTGAGATCAAAATTTTATGAAAAAGAAGAGTTGAATCCTTCCTATATTCAATCAGCAAGCAAACTGGGTGTTTTATCTGGGTTATCACGTACATATAGATTTCTTGTGCATAGGTATTTTAAGGTGCTCTTAAATTGTTTACTTTGTGTATAGGAATACATACTAGATTCAACGTTAAAGGAGCAGTTCACCCAAGAATTAAAATTTGCTGAATATTTACTCACCCTTATTAAATTCAGCGTGTGGATCAGTTCATCAGAACCAGTGGATCCTCTGCAGTGAATGGGTGCCATGAGAATGAGAGTCCAAACTGCTGATAAAACATTACAATAATCCACAAGTAATCCACAGTCCATCAATTAATGTTTTGAGAAGTGAAAAGCTGCATATTTGTAACAAACAAATCCATCAAGAACTTTTTAACTCCAAACCAACTTCAAGGTCACCTGTTCTGCCTCTGTTAGAGGTTGTGTATAATTTATGATGGGCATTCGCATTTATCAATATTATATTTCTGTGATTGTTTAATGTTCTGTATGAGTTTCATATTGCCTGCCGCTATTGTGAAAGTTCTTATGTGAGGACTCTTATTTTGACGCGTTTCCACGAGCGACGCACATTAGGTAATAGAAGCAACGGACTCATGACGCAGCAAGCGCTCGACATGTTTGTGTCGCATTTAAATTAATCCTTCTGCTAAACCCTGTCGTAAGCATTGGCTGTAAGTTCATAGTGCAAAAATGTGCTTGGTGCGTGTATTTCCTCGAGAGCAACAGGAACGAGCTATCAAAATGTATGCCATAATTGATGATCAGAGCAACCGCTCGCTGGCCAAAGGAGAGTTCTTTCGACTGTTCGGGATCCAAAGTAATCCCTCTCCGTATTTGTTGAGAACATGTGCTGGTTCCATGGAAATGTCTGGAAGGAAAGCGGTTGGCTTCCAAATAGAGACGCTGGATGGCAAGACATGTCTTGATCTCCCACCACTGATTGAGTGTAACGAGATAATGAGCAACAGATCTGAAATACCCACACCAGAAGTCACTCTTTAAGTTGTTACAATTTGATAGTTAATTTTCTACATTTCTTTCATTTCACTTAAAGTTTTACTCGGTTCAATGGCCGCTGAGTTTGACTATGTAAATCATACGTTGGACTATTAAAGGAGCAAGGCGCTCATATCCTGGCTCAGTGAACAGAGTTTGGCTTGCTGTTTATTTATATTACACACTTTGGGAAAGTAAAACATATAAAGAGAACAGTACATCACCTATTCATAATATTGCTTCCTCCAGTACAAAAGTTGTCTTGTCTGAATCAGGAGAGAAATATGCACAGATCAAATCAGATCAGATCAGATCTAAATAAATATTGTAATGTTTTTATCAGCTGCTTGGACTGGCATCAATTCACTGCAGAGGATCCATTGGTGAGCAAGTGATGTACAATAATACTAAATTTCTCCAAATCTGTTCCAATGAAAAAACAAACTCATGTACATCTTGTATGTCCTGAGGGTGAGTACATTTTCAGCAAATTTTCATTTTTTGGTGAACTATTCCTATAAGGGACATGACCCTGTAATGAGGATCCTGCTAAGGTCCTTTAAGGTGTAGCCTAAATTTTGTATTTTGCCTTTTACAGTATTTAAGCCATGGAGCTACCTAAAACTATCTGTCTCTTCATTTCAAATATTGAAATGTTCTCTTAGTTCATGCAGTAGTCATAGATTTTGTGAGTATCCAGGGATATTCCTAATACAAGCTGAAAGGCAAATAAATAGCTGAGCGGTAGAGTGTGCTTTGTGACTTCTTGTGTGTATGTGTTTATGGCAGCGACAGATGTGAGGATCGGAGCAGAGGTCTCTTGTTAATTACTGGAGTTTTTTTTTTCTTTACTCAAATAAAACTATAATTGTAAACGGGCCCAGATGAGAAGCTCAGAAAGTCTGTCAGAGATCATGAGATCCATACGCACCCTGTGGCTGACATCTTTATACAACAAGAAAGAGAGTAAGAAAATAAATAGAGCAAGGAAACTTCATAAACAGGTTAAACTAAGAGGTCAAATAAATGATGTAGACATCAAGTACAGTTCCAGTGAGGGCTGTACTGTCTTCTCTGTTGGTTTCGTAGACACATCATAGCCCTTGTGGAAAAAAATGCACTACATTCTATTGAGTGTATACTTAAAATCCTAAAGTAATGTATTTTCAGATAATATAATTAAAATATGAGCTATACATATATACATTGCATTATGTGCTATATATATATATATATATATATATATATAAATAATGGATATTGGATAAAAAACCTAGTATACCAGTTGGTATGTTTCTGTTGTTGGTATGTGTCTGTTGTTTATGTTTAATTTGCATGTAGTAGCCTGTAGCATTTCATTGCTCTTTATATCATAACTTGTATGTATGGCCCATATGAAGAGCTTAAAGGCATTTCTGTATATACTGTGTGTGTGTGTGTGTGTGTGTGTTCGTGTGCTTGTGCACAGGTATGTCCACACGTCAGTTTGTGTGTGTTTGTGTATGTATGCTCGCTCCAGTGGGCATAGTGCCCACAGGATTAAACCCAGTCTCCATGCTGTCCTTCAGCTTTAAACACTCAGGGTCATCCAGGGCTACAGCCGTGGGCATCTTGCATATAGAACAGCCTCAGTAACTGTAACATTTCCTCTGAGGGCGATACTCCTCAACAGAGAGAATAAATGCAACCTTAGTTTCATGGCTCTTGATATTACAGAGATTTGTTTGTAGAGAAGAGCATTTGTAAACGTGATAATGTTGCAAAATGAAGAGTGGCCATGCTATTTGCAGTGTATTTTGAGTGTATTTTGGATAGCCCAGTACGTTCAGAGAGACAAATCAAGGGAGCTGGATTTTAAGCATTTTTAATCTGAAGTTTCACCCTGATTTACATGTATACAGAAGCTTGTTTTTCTGTTTTTGTAGTAGCAAAAAAAAAAAATTATAGACTCTGTATAATGGTTTTTAATGAGATGGGAAAGCAGCCAGATGGAAGTAGGTAGATAGTGGCAGCAACCAATTGTTGTTCAAGGAACACGTGGAAACTCATTGTTCCATTCCTTCAGAATAACTGGAACTGCGAGACAAAATCAAACATCTGCTCATCGAGAAAGAGGTCACGTAGGCTGAAGAGAAATCCACTTATGTGGTATTACTGTATGTTTTCTCCGAAACCATCTTTTTCCACAAATCAGAGGTGTATGGTTTACAAGTATCAGAGGTGGGATGTATCCGGGATAATCGGAGGGTCTGGTTTAGTAAGGCAGAATTGAAAATTCTTTGTATGGTTTATCAACAGGTGTTTATCGACACAAAATACAGTACAATGTGTGTGCAGACATCTGTTTTTTGGGATGTTATAGTTTTAATTGCTAAAGGTTTTTTAAGGTTTTCAATTGTGTATTTCTGAGAGTGTAGCCTACATGTATTGTGTACTACTTGATTTTAAGGGCTTAGTTTTAGACATGACAAGACTCTTACAAGCTGAGAGGCCTATTTGTACATGTTCTGTTTTGTAATAAAATGACTGAGGCCAAGATATCCCTTAATAATAGCAAAATGTTGACTGTGCATACATCTGTTTTATTGTGGGGCATGGCCTGATGTTACAGGTTACGCTAGCACTTACAGAGACTCAAGGGAAAAGCCTTTATTGTTTTTACAAGCTAGAAAAATTAAGCCTGTCCACTCACTAGATGATGGGGTGCTATTTTCCAATATGAAAGCAACAAAAGGCAGTGACTTTCTTATGATTATTGAATGTTAACGATTATTTGAATGTCATGTGGATTATTTTTGTGGTTCTTTTTGGTGCTTTTTTGGAGCTTAGCAGCTGTGGTCACTATGAAGTGTGTCGATTCTTCAGAATATTTCATTGTTTATTTTTTCACAGAAGAAAGACAGTTATACGGGTTTGGAAAGACGTGAGGGTGAGTAAATGATGACAGAAATTTCATTTTTGGCAGAACTGTTTGTTTCGTATCCACTACTCTCTTTTTTGTCCATAGTCTTGATGGTGAGCCAGTTGGCATCTTTTAACCGCAACTAAATGAACAGCTAAAGTTTCACAGGATAGTGTTCAGTAAACCAAACAGATAGGAAAGTGGAAACAGACAGTTGAAAGACACCACCACACATCCTGAGGGAAGCTTGCGCTCGTAATATGGCCAGCCTAATGAAGACAGAGACAGTGTTGAGCAGCTGAGCAAAATCGGAGAGGACATGCCATGGTTGGTGAAAGACAAGGCCAAGGCTAAGATAGCAAACAGGCAGGGGAGGAGAGGCGTATCGAAGACGAATGGTGCTGTCGGCACATTGGTTTCAGTACACAAGCAGGCCAGCGCGCTTCTTCCCAGGGGGGACAGTCTTTTATATGGGTGTGCTGAAGAGTGGCCAAGGCCTAATCCTTTCACACACTTCACTGGCCGACACAATTATACTCTTGCCTCTTCTCATCTCTTGGGGCGAATCTGCATCCAGCAACGCTCTCATACCATCAATCAGACCCTCTGCCCATCATCATAGTGTGCATTGCTGGCATTAGTTGACAGCAGCATCAGCACCAAAAGGCAAAGCTGTTCACTAGATTCAGTCATGTCTGACTTTACTCACAGAGCGACAGTATCCCCACTAATAGGGGAAACTGCTTAAATTATATGACCTGAATGTTTATCTATGTATCTATCTATCTGTCTGCCAGTCTGTCTGTCTATCTCTCTAACAACAACACTTTTATTCAAAATAAAGGACTTTCATTTCATTTGTTGGCAGTGTGAACTCCCATTTAGATATGGTTATTGGCATTTGCCACATGCAGTACCACTATAGCTCCCTTAGATACTTTAGGACCTGTTGGAAGAGCTAA